GAAGGCGACTATCGTTCCGATTGTCCCTTTGGGGACAGAGAGATAGAGATGACTAATTTGGTCAAATACCTTTATCTCACGCTGTATGCAACTCTGCGATGGAAAACAGCATGTTGACCTGACGGGATCAAAACTACTAAAGCAGTTATGGTGTGCAAATGGCTAGGTGATAGATCCTGGGGCTGCAACCAAGATTTTCAGTCAGTTGTACACTATGATTGTGCGGTCGATTATTACATATGGAGCCTCGGAAGCATCGGATACTTTGGTAGGACTGCAGCTATTGAAGGTGCACCTTACCTACGTCTGCGTGTCAGGTGCCATGCGCAAATGTGCGACGGTCGCACTTGAAGTCATGCTGGAACTCGCACCGCATCACCTAATAATCGCTCACATTGTCAAACACACACTTATTCAAATGACAGCATAAGGGTTTGGTAGAGGTAAGATAATATCATCCGAACGCATGAAGGACTTAAGTGGCGAAATGTCACTGGTTCTTATTCCAATAGACAGAATTACCAAAAGTGTAAACTCAATCAAGAAGTTCATGGTGATCTTCAGCAGTAAAGCTGAAAGGAATGATACCGCTCTCAAGCTTCTGCTTTAGTAAACCACTACTGGGATAGTAAAACCAAATGATACATTGACAGCTCGAAAACGTCGGAGAAAATTGACGCAGGAGTCGCAGGACCACGCAACAAAATTTCTACACCAATGGAAGTTTTCCGAGAATAGTCCAAGCAGAGTTCTTTGCTATAAGTCGGTGCGCAGATATAAATCCCCAATGCAACAATCGCAATGAACGTATGTATACTACAGTTATACTCAGCGACAGTCAAGCGGCACTAAAAGCGATCTCCGCCTACGAGATCAAATCACTTTTGCTGCAGGTGTATATAGAACGGCTGAGAAGTCCATCAGATCGTAACCAGATACACCTTATCTGGGTGCCCGATCACTAAGATGTAGACGAGAAAGAACTGGCTGATGAGCTTGCCCGCTCCGCAGCATCCACCAAGATGATACCACCCGAACCGTTCATTGCGGTTGATCCCCATACCATAAAGGATCTGATGAAGGAGTTTGTAGGTAGAATTAGCAAAAACTCCATGTCATGCGTTATGCTAAGTTGCTAATGAGTGGTTACAACCTTAAAAGTTTTAGATATGTAGTCAATCTACCAAGGGGCAAGTTAGGCCACTTGTTGCTTTCTACATTGCCCATTGCAAGTTCAAGAAGCACTTACATGACATGGACATAGCTTCTTGTGCGTATTGGCGGTTCTTCGACATGGAGCCTGAAATTTCAGAATACCTGCTAAATGTCTACACAACAGACTGTCGACACTTTATGTAGGATCCGTGTTTCCAAGCAGGGACCATATCGCCTCGATAGCATCTAGCAGTATATTGCAATTTATTAATTTGTTTAGGCTAAGTGAGTCGTTGTGACTTAGGATATAGCACAATAGACTGTAAGTCGCGGTTCAATCCTCATTTATTTATCTAATCTAATCGAGCTCTTCCATACTTGTTTTCAATATAATTATTGTAAAAGTATTACATTTTGAAAGATTCAATAAATAAATTCGCCAAAACTATCGACTTTTTAAAGAAACTCAAAAGATTTTACATCTGCCCCTGTAAGTATGCAAAGAAAACGCACAAGCGCTCAAACAAACTATCTCTTGTGAAATACATACTTATCAACTACAATGCAATTAAATAATTGGTTTTACAATAAAAGGCGACGTAGCAATCAGCATGCCTTTACACAAACAATTAAAAAATTCCACAGAAAAATGTAATATAAGAAATAACAAATATGTGTATGTACTATATGTATGTAGATGGCTTTGAAAATTAAAAGGAAATACAAATTTAGCATTTGGACGCTTGCTTGGTCACGGCTGTGTTCGCTGCGCAATTTTACCGCTCAATTGGTCAAATATAAGCAAGAAAATTGCAATTGACTGTTAGTTGCATAAATTGGCGTTGTTGTTGTTGGCGATAGCATACCAACAGTTAAAACGGTTTTCTACAAAACATTTGCATTTTGCCATACACAACATGATAGCTGCGTCGCGCGAGACTGCATGTGAGTTTGACTCTGTGCTCATGTACATACATATGCGTTAGTATGTAGGCGCGCGTGTGAGTGTGTGTGTATGTTCGCGCGCATATGACAATTGCGCTGCAGGCAATTTTCGCGTTGTTGAGAAGCTGAAAATAATTTATTATTTTTTGCTTAACTGCGCCAGTGGAAAAGCTCGCTAAAGATTTACAGCCAGGTGGAGGGTGGCGGGAATGGGAAGCGCGGGTTGCAGCGGTTGCTGTTGCTGTTGTTGGTAGTCAGCATTTAACACGCCGCACATAAATAAGGCGACAAGCGCGACATGCCATTGTCGTGGCCAATATTGTTGTTGTTGTTGCGCATGCAAGACTTTGTTGCAGCTGCTGTGCTGCTGTTGTTGTTGTGGGTATGAGTTTTATGCAAATTGTTACTGTTGCTCCAGCGGCGGTGGTCACCTTAACTAGCTGCTCGCTTTAGCTGATAAGTGTACGCGGCGGCTGCTGGAGTGGCTGCTAGTAGTGTCTTTGTTGTTGTTGCTTTGCAGTCGATGTCGCTTTGGTGTTCTCTGTCGCCTGTGGCATTGCATGCATTTTTAAGTTTATAGTCACGCCACGTTGTTGCTGCTGCTTTTGTTGTAGCTGTTGTTGTTGTTGTGCCTACTGTTATTTTTGCCATTGTTAGTGATACTTTTTCATTTGTTGTCAGTCATTATTTAGCATTCTCGTTGCTGCCTGCACACTCACATATTTCGTTCTTGTCGCCTTAGCGATTTTAATACTTGCAGTTGTTGTTGTTGTTGGACACTTCACCCCATGCGCGCACCTTCACGCTGCATTTTGTTATTTACGAGCTTTTCGTGGTGTTCTTGCGCGCAGTCCACATTCTGCTGCGGCCCGGCCGTCGCTTGCCAGCACACCCTGCCCCACCTCACCTCACCCCATCACGCCGCACCACACCCTGTTGCCCAACTGCGAGTAATTATTATATTTCTTCGCCGCATTTCATTTGTTGACATTGTTGTTGGTGTTGCTGTTGTTATGGACCAAAGCGATCGTGCTCTGGGTGCGCTACAAGTGACGCTTTGCGTAGGTAGTGGCTATTAGTTGCATGCATTTTGCTCTATCTTCACTCTTCGCAGTTTATTTGCTCATTTCTTGTGGCACAAAGGAATTTGACCACCATCAGCGCCAGCTACTCGGTTCGTTCAGCTGCTGGCCTCTTTCGACGGTGGCTCATTTATTTCACATTCCTGCTGTTTTGGACTCGTGTTTTAGCGCCATTGTTAACAGCGGGGTGGCGTTGCATGCAACTCAAAGATCGCCAAAACAAAGAACGAAAATGAAACATGACGAAATTAGCTCAAGTGCCCTATAAGAACTTGTTTGTGCAATGTAAAAAAAAAATAATAGTAATTGTTTTATGAAGGAGCCGTGGAAGAGAAGAAAGATTACATTTGGTTAGATGGCTGATCTATCTAGATGGCGTAAAATCACACTTAGATTGCTATGTGGGTACAGTTCTTCACAAAGCCAAGTAAAATGTCCAAGAACCTACCACAAATTTCTTAAAGTTTTTATTCTTATCGCATGAAACCCAGCAAACATCTAAAGCGAAGAGATCAGTACATCTGCTTCGATTTATCCTATTCCAAAAGGAACTTGTAATTGCTAGTAGCTAACCAACGTTCGCTGAACAAGTTTAAGGCCCAACCCCCTAATAGAGAACCTCAAGAAACCAAGACAGTTCCCACCCGTTCAAGTTCTGCAGTTAGTGAAACTGAAGAGTCTGCCCATGAGTCTTGCAGCTAACTGCAATACCGCTATAGCTAGACATTAGTTGCAATCTAAGCTTGTAGTAACTCGATGTCAGAGATGAGAAGTCTAGATATCGCCTCACTAGTCACAGGCGTAAATTCATTGAGCTCAAACCTAATATCGCTGCTCTACTATTGGAGTGATTTGTCACCACACTGAAAAAGGCGCGTTGGAACGATATATCCATCCATTCATATTTTTACGGCAGTTACTTCCACTAGAAAGTCTCTGCATTGGTCACGAAGCCTAAAATTGATGGTTCGTCGATACTTCGCGACAGTGTACTCGTCCACCAAATCTACACGCAAGCTTTTGAGCGGGATGAAAGTTCACTGCCCCTTCCCTCCAGCGAGTTGTTCCATACCATACCTCTCTTAATCGTATGTGAGAGTCAGGTGTGAACTCGGCCACGTGGTGATCCCAATATTTTGGAATAAAATCAAAGTGTGCGTGAATAGGTTCGGAAAGCATTGCAATAGTCAGAAAGCCTGAAGTTGGAGTTGATAGAGAGCTCCTGACAGTAAAGCCCTCCATCAACCTTCTCCTCCAGCTCCATCATCCGTAAAGAAGCCTTCTGCCCCTCTCCTCCAACGGCTTCTTCTCATCCACAACTCCTTCACTGCTAAATGGGTAAAGAAGGAGCCGGAAAAGTTCGGTTGAGTGTTTTGCGCCGCTCGTTGGTTAAGGAATATTAGAGAGAAGAAAAACTGCTGCGAAAGAAAGTTCACATTTCCAAACCTATTTCCTTTTATCTCCTAGATCCCTGCAGGTATTTTTGGAAACGATTACTAATCAAATTTTAATTTTTACTCATATTTTTGTAAGGCCAATCCTACAATTGTTATATTGATTAATGACGAGGAGAAGTTTAATAAGTATTTTTTTTTCAATCACTTCTGATACATACTTATGGTTTCTCCTTTCCTCTTCTTTGTAAGAAAGACAAAATAGTCACACGGTCAGAAGTCTGATGAAAGCAAACAATTTAATGGCATTTGTCTCACGACTACAGCTGGAGAACTCTTACTGAAATAAATCTTTCAATGTATATTTAACACATAAGATATCCTTAGTAGATCTTAAAGTTATAAGAACTTTTCTTTTTTTCAGACCTGTTCAACATCCAATTGCCGCAAAGCTTAAAGCCCAACTGAATGCCACAAATGCTATTTAAAGCTAATATTTATGTAACACTAAGAAAAGAGAAATTATTGCCAATTTATAAATGCGCAATACAAATACAACAAGTGCCATACACAAACAAAGAAACGCAGCTAAAACGTAACAACACGTAACATAAAGTAACGCAACGTAACGCAACGAATTCCGTCCAATCATACTGAGATTCTTAGTGCCTTTTTACAAACAAAACAAAACTAAACTAAACAACACAAGTATAATATAAACAAAAAAAAA